GTCGTTACACAGTGCAATGGTCATATTTTTCTCAGCACAGCAGTATGAGTAGAGTGAGAAGGGTTGACAGAATTTTTAAACGGGTGATATTGTCGTAAATTGTATATCTTAATCGCGATGGTGTGAGTTAGGCGCATTTCGGAACCATTTATATCATCACCACCATTTCCAATTAAAAATTAGTGAATACTAATTTGAGTCCTGCTATCATCCAATGTTTGCTTTTAATATCGAGGGTACCTCCATTTCATTCTTTATCCTCAAGTCTTGAAGTAGATATCAGTTAATATTATCAATTTGTGCAGTCTACTGAAACAGGCAAATTTCTTACCAAAAACAGAAATGCGAGGATTTCATTTTATTCAGTACGAACACGTGGTGATTCAGAAGTTATTTTTGTATGTTCTTACAAATAATGTAATGTTATATTGTTCCATGTTTAAGATACGGATGTAATGCAGTACCACTTAATTGAGAATGCTTGTGAAAGGTGGTACACTAACCACTGAGAATTAAGACAGTGCAAACAAAGTTTACTTTGTCAGTGAGTAAGCCATATGAATCCATCTCCAGAACCTTTCTTGTAATAAATTTAATGTTGATTGATAATGCTTCAGAAACCTCGTTCAAAACAGCTTTTTCTTACAAAGTGATGGAGGTGTTTTTCTTGCGGTATGAGTGTGACTTTGCATCTATTTCAATCGAGCTTCTGTAGGTAATGGAGGGGAGACAGAATAGAAACTTCCATCCACTGGTATACTTAAACGAGTTTTCAGTAGTGAAACAAATCAACTACCAAAAACATATCATGGTTCTTGAGAACAGATCCTGTGAAGTACATCCAAACTGATGTGCTTATTGATGCTTACCAGACACTCAAGAGACACAGGACACCAAGTAAACGCATTGAAAACAGTCACGTAGAATGACCAAAGTCTTCTTCGGTATAATGAGGTCATAGCAGTAGAAGAACTGAAACCTAACCAATGCATTTTAAAGGAATCCGTCTTGGGATTTCAGGTATCATGGCAACACTCTCCCTGGTGAATCTGTGTTTTCTAATTTCATCTTTTTTGATTTCTGTAGTGAACTCTGTAATAAATATCGTTTGCTGCTTGAAATATGGAATATCAAGTGGAGGATTTTGCCTGCATTATTTTAGAATATTTAGTTTGATGTCAGTCTGTACAATGGTAGGCAATGAGAAACTGTAAAACTGCAAAATTCAAACAATGTAACAGGATACCAATTTTCTTTTGAGACGACAAGATAATGTTGACGTTATGTGTATCGATTTAGGAGCATATGTGTGACTCTGAGGAGTTCCATTAGCCACCTTAAAATTCTTCCTATCGACTGTCACAAACTAAATAATATCGATTCATTCATTTTCATTACAACTGCTTTTTTATTTCCAGCTGAGTTGTGAATGAACTGTTTAGGAATAATTACATTGCCCACTGGTGATGAATGGCGAGAAACACATTCATCAATCTGAAACCAATCTGGAAATCTTCGTCACTCAGCATCAACAACAATATTCGGATTTTCAATACAAACGTCAAGTCAGATCTTCGATACGGATCAGAAACGTGGCGGGTCACAAAAAATATTTCCAGCAGGTTGCAGACCTTTATCAACAACAACTGTCTTTGTTCTATACTCAAGATGAGATGGCCGGAAGGAATCACCAACAAGGAACTATGGGAACAAACAAAACAAGAACCAATCGCCTAACAAATATGCAGGAGAAAGTGGAGATGGATTGGACAGTCGTTGAGGAGGCCACTGGGTGACATCGCGCGTGGAGCGGCGACTGGGACGTCCAAGGGTGACATGGAGGAGATCGTGTGAAGAGGAACTGAAACAGTATGGTCTTACATGGATGCAGGTGAAAAGTACAGCAAGAGTACATCCACTTACAACTCTCAAATGCCTGAGAATCAAGAAGGAAATTCTCAACAAAAATGGTTTTGAAATCATGTCCACAAGAAACAGTCGTGGCAAAATATCTTTTTCTTCGGAGTTCCTAAGTGCAAGCTGGTAGTCCACCGTGCCATGTTTAACATACTCAAACAAAATGTAGACACTACTTATGGCAAATTAATAACACCGTTTCAACATGAGACGATATTAATATGATGCACTGTGATAAATTATGAAGATTAGTTCAAAAAATTCGTGTCACTGTCAGAGTAATGACAGATACAAAAGAGGCAAAAGATGATAAACAAGTAATTAGCCGACATACTGACATAAAAATTAATACCGTTAATACGAAATTCAGACGGGAATCTCAAATAACTCGTTCTGCTCCGCGATCTCTTGAAAAATGAGATATGGAAATGAACAACTCTGTAGACACAGGGAGATCAATTGGCAACTTAGTTCAAGCATTAATAATTTGGTTGGGACCATGAAATATGCCAAAGTTATCTTTATTTCTTCTTTATTGCGAACGCCTTGATTCGCATGTGATTGTGGAATTCGCTTTCAGATTATTGTTGCTTTAGAGTCAACTCATCTCGGTTGAAAGAATTGTGAAGCTTCCCGTAAGGTGTGTCAACTCAAGTGATTGGCAGTAGTGACTATAATTTGTCCACTGCATTTACAAAATGTATAAATTCTTTACATAAGTAATTATCATTTTGAAGGCGTCGTCTGTTTGCCCCTTGTTTCAGCACGAAAATTAGTCTTGTATCAATGGCGAACATATTACACCAACCACAGGCAATTTTCTGTGGTGCTTATCAATAAAACACAGAGATCAGATGCGGCTAGTAGTCCGAAATGAAACCGGTGGTGGATTCAGTTATTGAAAACATGACCACATCCTCCCCACATATAACCACGTGTTACTCACACTGTCAGATAATACATGACCTCCATTCTCGCAGTATGCTCAGGATTCTACTGATTCGTTCAATAGAAATTTGCAGTGGAAGGCGGACCAACCACCTGCTGATTGTTGCAGCGTCCGCGTGCAAATATTCGTCAGATTTATGGTATTTGGTTACACTGTTTTGTCCAGTACCTGTAAAAACCTGCGGTACAAAATAAGAAGGCCAAAACAAGTTTGGGAAATAAATCGACACGAAGTGGGTCATTGCCTGAGGAACTTTTTGACAATAAAAATAAAGAAACATGTAAGAACAATTATTTCTAAAGCTGAGGTGATTTCGTAAACATACATGTTTAGTTTGTGATTTTGCTACAGAAAGGATGAGTGTTAATCAAGTTGGTCTTTTCTAAAACGTTCGATCACCAAAACTAACTTGGGATTGGCTGGAGGACAGCTGAAATGCTTGGACGGGTCAGAATGGATGCTATATTGAAGATACTATATTTGTGGGCCTATATAAAAAGGCTATCAGGATACTTAACATTTTTATACTTACATAATTTCGTTGTCTCACTTCGTTGAAGTTTAAGTTAAGATGTTGCTGGTGGGCTTACACATTTGAATTAATGATGAGGCTGTCTACACGGATAATAATGTGAGACATCAAAACCGTGGAAATATTCGTAAATAAAGTGCAAAAAATGGCTTGTGTAGGGATTCAAAGAATACGAAATGTGTAATAGTCACTTTTTTCGTAATGTCACTTGGTGCCACTGAGATTCCTTTTCACACTTTCAATTATCTGATATTTAAAAAATGACCGTCAATATATGGTAGTGAGTGCCGATCCAAGTATCACGGATATACGTCTAATGGAGACGGGCAGTAAATCCTTCATGCATACTATTTGAATTGTAGAAGCTATTTCACTAATCGATGGTTGAATAATGGTTGATATGTGATGTAACAAATTACCCAACGTTTCATAAGTGTTGTCAAAATTACCCTGCATTAGCACCAATTTCAATTAAACTCTCCCCAAGCGTCAGTGTCACAGCAGTTAGGACTCTCGCCGACTATGCACATGGTCTGGGGTTCGATCCCCGGCCGACGCACACCCGATATCCATGGTCGGCCTGCAAAATTTGGGCTACCGATATCACATGCTGAAAATTTCATAATTTTATCAAAAATACGGTGTGGAGTCAAGCTATAATAAAGTAAAATAAATAAAAAAATGCATCGACAGTTTCAGTCAACCTTCAGAATATATACGTATTTGAAAGTCGGGAGTTTGGTGGAAGTGAGAGAAAATACTAATAATCTGTCTATCTAGTAATGGATGTATCAAGAACTCTGAGACTGTCTTTATATACCCGCTTCACTGGTGTCTTATATAAAAACCTTTTTAAAACGGTGGAATTCGAAAGATTTGCAGAGGAATGAGTGACATCTTTATACTTTCCTAGAGATTTGGATATGGTAGTTCTAATGGTCATTTTGTGTAAGAAGATGAAACATCTACTAATGGCATTCTTATAAGCATTTTTAGGATTGTTTGATTGATTTCAGGAACATTATTTAATATGTCAAACAGGTAACATAATCTCTACCACACATTATGATCTCAGTTTCAGACAGGTATATATTAACCCGAAATGAATCATTCCATGCCATAAACTTACGGGGATTTTCCAACAGTTTTTTCTATATATATTTCAATAATTCAGTATCAGTTTACTCCATAGAATGAATAAATTGTCTACGTTTAGAGATCATCTTTTAGTGCTTCGAAAGTAAGTGTCAACGTATTCATTAGTCTAGCACAATAAACACATTAAGCGTAACCAAACTAAAATACTCGTTCGTTTTTGATTTGATATACAAACAGGCAGACGTACGAAGGTGACATTGTGTAATTTGGACTTGGATTCCATGTCTCAGTGAACTATGAACATACATTCTGATTGGAAAATTAATAAAATGATCGATAACGTATACCGTGTTGGACTAAAGTTTAAAATATATACTTCACGTCTTTAGTAGGACACGAATTCCCGTAAGCTCACTTTGTACAGTCGACTTCGTAAATTTCCAAGTACTTCCATTGTTAACGTTTTTACACACATTTCTTTCCTAACTACCCTTGAAAGCAAAAATGACTGAAGAACTAAAGGTATGTCTAGTTATTTTCCAAGGTTTGATCTGTAGACGATAATGAATGGTGTGATGTCTGCGAGATGGTGTATTATAAAGGTAGGCATGCTTGCGGTTTAAGTAACAGCAATAACTTAAGTTCATCATCTGTTTGTGTATAATGACTGCAACAACAATGATCATCACGTTGTTGGTGGCTAACATGTAAGCTGAGAAGTAATTATTTGTAGTCACATCTCTGATTTAGATCACAACTAGAGACAGCATTCTATCAGTTTTGGCCCATACCAGTTGCTTTTATGTGAGTTGTCGTTAATATAAAGTTACAACAAGTATTTCATTATATGGAATCTGACATCGAATCTATCTCACTACTATCTGATGTATTTTTTTCCGATGAACACTACTGATCAATCGTATCATTACCACACACCACAATTTAATTAGGCAGATAATTAAGTGCCCATGCCTACATAGGTGCATACCAATAAAAAATTATCAATAAATTAATAATGAAAAATACGTATTGCTTTATGTATGATAATGCCTTGGTAGACTCTGAATTGTAGCATGGTCACGAATTGTCATGAACACTGAGCAGCTGTTTCGTGTTAGTTTGCGATTCTTCAACAGTGGTGCTACTGCTGAACAGTGTCATTCGTGATTAAATGTCTTCACACATAAGAAAGTGGACTCTTGACTAACTGATAATATTTAGATCACGCTGGTCAGTGACTGAGTGGTCGGCTAGGTCGCCTGATAACGTGAATGTCATATGGTCTGCCTCCTAGAGGTTAGGGGTTGCATACTGTTGTAGTCCTATACCACGACAAAACAACTCTCCTGTACTCCCTGGTTTCAGTAATTCTCCAGCTGATGTCACTTCGTGAATAAACTCTGAACTACATATTCAGCTTACATTAATTTTATTACCGCAACAGTCAAATTTATTTCAGGTTCGTTGCATCAATCCTTCAATTGGTGTTTCTTCTTGCGTTGAATCTTGAAAACGCATTCCCAGTGAACTATATGTTGGCTGCACTGAGTGTAAGTGAATCGATTTATCATGCATTTCTATGTGTGTGAGTAATTGGGTTTGATCCTTACTATAGTGAGCTAAAACAAAGAGACAAATATTCACTTAGTAATAGCTTTTAATGAAATATACAGTTTATATCAGTGAGTAAGGTGTGAATCTAGCGATAAATGTAACTACGGTTGCAGTATTCATTACTGATATTGAATACCGTTTGATACATCAATTTACGAATATGAATACTGATTTATCAACTGTTTTTCTAATAAAGTATTGTGCAATGTGTTTCTTACGAAGTAGTTTCAAAAACGTAGATCAATTCCTTCTAAAATAAGGTTTCAAATGTAAGCAAGTTGATGGGTAAGTGTTGGTTGACGCCTACCTTTGTGGAATGTAGGGCCCTCATTGTGTTGGATAAAATGATTTGACGAAAGTTTGTTGTGGTAGCCTGCTTCGTCATTAGATGCTTAGTTAATTTAAAACCATGTTATGCAACAGCAGTATCTAGTGTGCAGTGTGGTTAGGTAAATATTCTTCCAGAGAGGAACGTCAGCAAATTAAGTTAACTTTATATGCTCCATTTCAAAAAATGTTGCGTCTACTGTTTATCATGATGATTGTCCTCACTCCACTACTGCTAATTATAGATGTGTGACACTTGGGAATTTAGAATGGAATTTGCATCATCATTGTTATGAGTCGACAAAAAATGTATCACGAATGAAACGTCTCATGAATCCACTTCCAATTGTCATAAAACTTCAGTAGTTCTGCCGAAAAATCTGTGCTCTGCACAGTTACACCATCAGTGAAACATTGGTTTGCTTTTCCACTACGCTTGAGTTATTTAGAGTCATATTACTATGATTATGTTTTCAAATAAGAGATATTTTAGAGAAACCACATGTTTTCTGTAGGTTATCATTCCTCTGAGATTGATTATCTAACAAGAATCTCAGCGAGATAATCACTTCTTGACTTTAATTTATCTTTTTCACATACCACAGGTATTCACGTCGTCTTCTGGTCTCGCAGTTGAAACAGCGAGGTTAAATTTATTGACTCTTCTTTCATGGAGTCTTACCGCACTCCTGTCTGTGTTAGCCGTGATAGTTGGATACAAAATGAGGCGTCTTAATCTGAAGGGATACCATGTCATGTATTACGTGATATCTGGATTGATGATTTTTGGTGGCATTCCGTTTATGGTTCTCTACCTTCTTAGCCATGAGGTAAGTAGCGTTCAGGTCAAACGACCTGTTGTACTGGTCAATGACAATAGTTTTGTTTTATACAAAAGATATAATTTGGAAGTTTTCTTTACTCAAATTGTTGCAGATAAACGGTGTTTTGTTGTTATTTGTCTGTAAATGTCAGTTGTAGAATGAATTCGTGTTTGTGCATATCATTATCACTGGAGTAACCAGCATGGCAATTTACCTCAGCCTCTGTGATCATCACAGTGATTAATTGCGAATACTCACTCTGAAATGATGTTTTTAAGTATGTATGAGTTACGACAAACCGGAAATTGTTCAGCCATTTAATTTTTGATGTAAGTGGTGAGACAATCAATTGCCATTGTTATATCAGTACTCAAGCCAAACTTCTTTCCTATTTTTACCTTCAGCAACCTGCAAATCTAGTTTTTGTTGTACCTTTGGTACTCTGTTTAACTGTGGTAAGTTAGATTGGAAAAAATGATAATATCTGCTTCGTAATATTCTCAAAAACTTTGAGATATCCTTATTTTTTCCTATCATGTCTTAACACACAATTGCAAAACATCCGATTTAGATATACGCTCACGTTGTATGTGAATCAGTAGGTTGTAAATGTTTTAAATACTCTCCAGAGTAAACAATACTTCTGGGGGTCATAGTTCATTAAGCTTAAACAAGCGGAATTAGGGAAATTATATGCAGTATGCTGATGGAGGTTTCTGGCAGCCTGAATTTCAGGTAGGTGGGAAATTGATGAACCTGCAAAGACCATGTTAATCGCTATGTAATTCCACCCAGTGGGGATATAGTCGAAGTTGGATACTAATACCTGGCCAAATGTCTGATAGTCGCCTTAAAATGCCAGCTTAATCTTTCACTTATATATGCACACACTATTCTTTGAATGTGAGGCTGAAAGTTACACCTAGTGACAATTACTGGCGATATGCTAAAATAATAATATCCACGGATTACTAATGTAGCCTAATATTCTTACACATTTTCATTGTCATTTCTATTTCACTTTTTCTCTGTATAACAGGCATTATATCTTACTGGACAAGGTTTAAAACATTGCAATGATATGCCGACTGATTCCTTCCTACCATTTAGACAGGCTCTAATCACCTGGGCGTTAGTATGCTCGATGTACGTAACTCTTTCTCATATCATTCTAATAATTCGAGACTATATTCAGAAGAATCATTCGATCTTCATTTAAACCGACATTAGGTTCTCTGCACTGCCTACTACCTGACTGTAATATGTTATTACTTTTGTTGTTAAACTGGATGCTGTGTGAAATATAATTCAGAACCGTAATTACTTACTTTTATACATCCATTTGTATATCCATAGTGTGTAAATTGATAATTTATTGTGTTCATCAAACATGTTAACCAGGAGGAATTTTCATGATAAGAATGTATGCTTGAGTGCCCTAAATAACGTAAGAATATAGCAGAATTTTAAGATCAGTGTTATCGTTCTGCAGTATGTAGGATCAAATTTTAATAAATCACGTTTAATATAAGTTATTAACACATGAAGATTTCAATAGACTCATTTCAAGTTAACATTCTTCTTTAGCTTGACTTTTCCCTTTGCCAGCGAGTTGTAAATTTGAATTATAAGAAATGAATAAAAGGGTTAGATTTCAAATGATACAACGCCAACGGTTCACTGCACTGCTGAAAATAGACTCCACTGAAACACAAGCTCTAACATTCCACAAAATCGACCTATCTTCAGTGCAATGCTGTAACGTCTTGCTAATTTCGCTTAACCTGCATATAGTTGCAACATACTTAAGGCAGATAAACTCATTTTTTTTGTTTAAGGATACCTGGAATTCGGATCCTGTTCGTTACAGTTCCTGCTTCCTTAGAAAATATTTTAAGGAAGCCATTCACGGGTACTGGAAGACGTCCAAAGACTTTTTCTTCCTATCATTATCATGTGCATAGATATGTATGAATCTTAACGGATTTTTAAGAATGTATAAAGTGCATAGAATTCGACTATAAAGATCAACTGATATACAACCCATTTACAGGAACACAGAAAATAACATGATGCTTCACCAGACTAAGTCCAGTGTCGGTGAAAGCTCGCAGTCTGTTCAAAAATGTTTCTGATGACACCTCGAGTCTCTTAACCATATATATGAGTAGTGACTTGAAGTAAGTGTTAGGAAGTGAAACAGTGTCAGCTACCGCTAGGTGCTTTGAGTCTTCATATCCTGCTGAAATATCACATCTTAGATATGTTTCACTCTTTTCAGGATTAAGCTTACAGTTAGACATGATTCTACGCCAATTCTCGAATTGGTCTAGTTTTTCTCTGTGATACTACGTTTAAATCAATGTAATCAATCATTGATAATGCACGACATCAGCATACATTAAGTTTTTGTCACCCCAGAGCAGCTGTCACTGAGTTGGGAATCACGAATATATCTATATCATAAACACCGAAAAATCTCTGGACACCAAATCTTGTATCAGACTCAAAAGTCTTGAGCCTCCCTGTATTACAGTGGATAGCAGCAGTAGCAAGGCGCCTTGTGAACTCACTTGTCAGCGCACAGCTTGATCCAGACAGCAAGTGAATTCTGCAAATTATTTGCCTTTCAATTTTCAGATCTCAGAAACCACTTTATTTTTGCATTTTAAAATTTCTGTCCATGGGATTCAGTATGTTTTAATTAATTTCTGGTGTTCAGACACTTTTTCCTCGCCAACATTGTTTTGTTTATTGCAAAACATCAATGAAACCTCAAAAATTTGATTCAGTCAGTTCCTGATAATGACACGTAGATCGTTGTGTGGGTCCAGTGTACCATTTTCTATCCTAGACATTCCCCTCATCGAATAATTATCTTTACCTTCCATCATTATGAGAAGGGTTGCATCCAGCTGCAAAGTTTCATTTTGCCATAGCCGTGGAAATTTTCACAGGCTTTGATGCCACCACATTATCTGAACCGTCTTAAACGTGAAGGGATTTTGCGTGTCCGTTTGACAATTGTCTTTTAGTGTCCTACAGCCCGTCTGCCAATTTTCCGTGTCTTTTGTAATTCTTTTCTAAAAGGAAGGCATCTGAACAGGCTCGAATGCCACTCTGCTGTTCTCAAATGTGCTGGTAACGCGCATATTACCAGAGTCTACAGTTCTGCATTACTAGCTATATAAGTCGTGTAATCTCCTCTTCGAATAATGGTTAACCTTTGGTCGCAGTTAAGTTTATTGCTTATCAGATCACAGTTCCATACAGCTGAGTTTTTTTATTTTTGTTTCGTACTTAGTACTTGCAGGTCAGTTAGTGAAGCGACTAGGTGAATAATCAGGCACTCTGTGTTTCGTAAGGCTCTTTTACGTTAGTAATTCTGTGTAGTCTACACACACGTCTTGAGCAAAAAGGAATACTACAAAAAATATCAATAACAAAATTAGTAAGGCAGTGGGCACATCCTACTTCGATGCCAAAATGATTCATTTCGATGACGCAAGATCCCCAAAACAGTCTATGCCTTCAACTAGCTTAGTATATAAATCAGTTCAATCTTGTCACCGAAATACCACTATTCGACTTGAGATAATATAAATCACCCATGTCAGCAAGCAGTATAAATTAACTAATCAAATAGCCTCTATATTTATGAACTAATCCACGATATGAGTGTTTTGCTTCTACGTGAGAAACTACTTTTAATTTTCACCTGGGACTGTGTAACTTACGACTGGATTATTGATTTTGAACTCATACAGCATAATGAAATAAGTGAATATCAGAGAAAACTCGTCAAAATATACAGCCAAATTAGGACTCATAACGATTACATCATTTTTGCAAGTAGAATTAGTACGGCTCTTTGTAAAAGGTGAAGAGCCAGTCAATATTTACACAACAATACACTAGACGGAAACCAAGATTTTCAACGAGTGTTTCAGAAATAGATAACGGTTCCTTTGTCGCAGCAGATGTGATTATTATTGTGCTGTAAGTGTTTTAGTTCACCCATGAGTCAAAGGTATTGTACAATCAACATAATTTCGTTGTATCCATTTCACGTGGTAGGATAATAACAATAATAATAAATAAAGTTGAATTCTCCACCTGTTGAAAGTAGAAAAAAGAGCATTCGTGAATTGCACGACTTATATTTGCTTTAATTTCGTGACTCCAGTGTTTGCTAAACTACCAGACAAAGAACAGGGAGTTCCAGTGTAAATATAATGAAAATGAACGATAAGTTATTGACGAGCCAAAGTAGGAGAGTATGACCTTATTTCCTGCATAAAAGAGGCAGTGGAAACAGATGCTTCAGCAACCGATATGAGTTAAAACAGACAGAACGAATTAGATCAGTCATACAGTGAGAGTGTTGAGTTAAAGCCTCAGAGTTTACAATAATTTGTTCACTGATCTCAAAACGCCTTAAATGAATTGAAAACATGTCTTATTCTCTTTTTAATATTTTCTAAAAACAACATGACAAAATGAAATGAGCATATGCAAAGAACGTGGAAGATAATGAAAGACGATTATCAATTCTGCTGCACTAATGTCATGAGATGATGAGATGTTACGTGAATATGTTAACCTTAAGATATTTCACCGAAATTATTCTGAGCTCACTGCATGTTCATTATTCTCAAGGGATTAATTAGTATCTCTAAAGCTCCCTTAAAACGTAAGAAATCCATTCTATGGATTCACTCCATAGTTATATCATTGAATTCCCCACTTAGGGAAAAAACCTTACGGATAAAATATGCAGTTCTTTTAAAACAGGTAATGTCCACTGAATTGGTGAATAATAGGTATGCAAAAAATAAACAAACAAACACTAGCTTGGTTTACTCTTTCATGTATTGTGCAATAACCTCCGATTCACCTCGCCAGGTATGTCACTTTTAGATGTTTAGATGTATCCGAAATAATGTTGTGCTAACTCACTACATTTTAAAGCCACATAGGTTTATCACTGCTTGTTTATATTTATTGTAGGCGCACAATGCAAATAATTCTACTGACTAAGAGATTATTCAGGTTACTATGAATGCTTTGATGAATGATATTTGTCAGAAAGCATTCCAGAGTATGAAATTCTCCACAAACTTCATATACTATTTCCTCTTTCTGAATTTGAATAAAGTAAGAACAACAGGTTGTTTTCTGATAATATGTTACCATCACTTATTTCGTTGACTTCACGTCATCTGCTTACAGCCCGAAGAAATTATTAAGTTTGTACACAGCCCAGTTTTAACACACTTGCAAACGTTACACAATATTGGCTTCTGAAATGAATTACCAGTGCTCAGAAATAACATTTATGTAGTTTATACGCAGACAGTTCAAGTTCAAACATAAATTCAAGTTTGCAAACAGTGATAAAGGAGAAACTTAATGAAGACAAATGATGAGCAACTAATGAAATGAGTAACAATATCATTGAATCATGTCACATCAGTTAGATAAGAGACAGGAAAAGTTACACTATGCAAAAAGAAGAAGAGCTCAAAGACAAATATCACTTAGCCATATGAAAGAAGAAGGAGAGATATCGAGTTATCAGGGAAAGCAAAAATTGATAACTACTTCTTTCGAAAATATAAATCGACTTTCAAGCGTTTGACAGCAACTGATTTGATATACTTGAGGCGAATTAAACTATTTTTATCAACTTTTTATTCTAATGGATTTCGCATCATCCACCTCATGATCAGTATTGATGAATTGTCTAGCAGTGGCACTGCTGAAAGCATTTGTTCCCTTGAGATGTAGACCTTCTGGTAGATTTTCAGAAAATTGGAGGTGTGTCTTTTTTCGTTCTCGAAGTGAAACCGCTGCCACACATTTGTAGACACAGAGTTAACGTAAAGAGGATATATGTCGACTTCTGATTGCAGAAAACAGAATATTATCTCATAAACATGAAGTAAATTAGCTGCAGGAGGGATTCTGTCTTGTGATGTTCCCGGCTTTCTGTTGACTGTTCCTGAAACTTTGTCACCTTTAAAATCGAATCAAATGAAGATAAGGTTTTCTTCACTGTGATTTGTTTGGTATTTGAGCCCTCGTATCTTCCGCACTGTTTTACGAATCTCTGAGAATGAGGGCTGTTTTTCAGTAACTTTTCGCGGATCAGAAATTGCTATCGTAATTTTTGTTTTTGCACAACATATCATTCTGGCTCTATAAACATAGCTTAGACCATTTCTTGTTTAAAATTATTCGGACAAAAACTACCGAAATATAAGGATTGTCCATCCTATATCGGCTTTCGTTTAATTGACTTCTGGAGACCACCATCTCTCGGGCGTTGTATGGAGACGTCAAAGAAAAGAAATATTCACTCATTTTCATGTTCCCTAGTAAATTCAATATTTTTATGTGCGTTGTTGAATCATTCGAATAGATATGAAGCTTGACTTTCATTGCACACTACAAATGCGTCATTGATATCTTGACAATAAATTGTTTCGTAGATCACATGGTTCAACTTTGTTCTCTCAAGTATGGACATGAGGATGTCTGCTAAAACAGGATTGAAGGGACTGTCTGTAGCCTAACAGTATATTTGACAGTAAAGATTGCTATCAAAATGGAACTGAACATCCAAGTTACACATTAGCAGTAGTTGTACAAATTCTGACACTGAAAGTGAGAGAATATAAGAACATTGATGAATGATATCGATGGTTTCAGTGACTGGGATTTCTGAAAAGAAAGATTACTTAAAGTGACACGATGAGCTAACCTGAGGAAGTGAGTGAAAGATCCCCATGCTCACAGTCTTTTGAATCACCACGGTTCTGTTTGCATTACTGATATAAAGACATAATTTTCTATATCTAATTTTACGTGTCTCGTTTTATTTCTCTCACCCCACTTATTGATTTATACACCTACAATTCTCTGGCTCCACTAATGACTTTTGAAATCCTACTGGTTAATGACTGTCTCAATTTATCGATGAAATCAGTGTCTCTCATGGTTATTCAAAAGCATTTATATATACGCAAGTGCTGTCAATCATTTTCGCTGTTGATACGAGACAATAGAAGCTCTCCACGTCAACTGTCAGTCTTCTCTTCTTGTCTTCACGCGTCATGTTTGTGGTGGTATCGTATCGTGTTCATGTTGTTGCTGATTATATTAGTTAGAACAATAGGCTGACGAATTGACTAGGTAGGGGATTCGTATGTGCAACTACAAGTTCATAAACGGTCATATCACTTACGTGTATGACCTGCCAAAATACAACAAGAACTTGTTCATCCAGCAAATATCCCTTCTATTATCGACTCACCTTAGTAGAAAGTTGCTCATCAGCTTTCGGAAGAGTTGGAACTCAGTCGCAAGTATGTCAATTTTCCCGTATAAAAACGTAGGGATTTCTCATGGCTGTAAGTTACTTATGAGAAGCCAACCAAATAACTGATCGTACCATCTAATTCTGCATGAATTGCTGTTCTTGCCTTATTTAATCGGGATCGCTCCTCATTTTATTGATAAAAATAGTGGAATATACACATTGGGTCATAGGAATTGTAAAAGAGACGGTTACAGCGAAGAAATTTTCTTTCAACTAGGCCGTACACTCGTGTATTTATATTACATGTACGAGAAAGTTCCAGAAAATTCCAGGTCAGAGGTCAGATTAGTAAGATTACTAAGTGTAATAAACAAAAGATAGGTAGGGGCACTATTCTTGAAATATTTCATGTCGAAGGTTAAATTAAAAATTCCAATAAGTAATAATCAGGAAGATCAGGCAGAAATGACAAATTAGGGTTTTGATTACTAGAAAACTAGTCAGTTTGCAAAATTAAAGGTTAAGGATGTTGTATTGACGAATTCACTGGAAACATAAGGCTTTGGAAGTCTGTGCATTCCAAACTTATAAACCACATAGAACAATGACGGTAGTTTAACAGATTTCTTTTTGCATAGCTTCTTTTGAAACTGCAAAGAAGGTGGAGTTGAACATACTAGATAGGTCCTTCCATCAAGAGATCTATGATTTAATTCGCCAGCCTAAGACTCAAGTTTCAAGCAGTAAATTTCACAATTCACTTCGAAGCCAAATACCTCCTGACATCAATTTTTGGAAGCCAAAGAGAGTATTAGTTGAAATACACTCATTCCTATTTAGACACTCCTTAGCAGCAAGCATCCTCAGGGGTTCTTATCCAGGGTCTTCCAGTTATGAGGCGAGCTTGTAATAGAGAATGTACAACCCTCTTATTTGGCGTTTGAGGAAATTAAATGTATAACACGTCCAACACGTTGATGATGCATGTTTCACACTACTTATAAGGTATTCTTACAGACAGATCCAACGTAAAAGTTACAAAACCTATGTCCAAGATTTTCAGTCAGCAACGAATTCGTAATACCTTTGTTAATTATATAGTTGGATTCGCTCAGATACCTTAAGTATATGAGTTTTAAGCATCTACCAACAGCCTCACATCATCTCCAGTCAAGTTGGGTGACAGAAGGCCTAACAGTCAAACTAATGTGTTATGGAGACAGTGTACGGATTTCTTCTGACTAATATACAGAGATATTCCAATTGAATAATTTAACCAAAGTTTTGAGTTACTTGTGAAATCAAAAATAGAAATTGTCTGCAATATGATACTATTTTACATACGAAAATGGTCAGTTGAATATTCAAATTTCGACGTGTGTCAATAATCAATGCTGTTATAAAAAATTGTTACAAGGCGTAGATAAGACAAATTGCAGAGATGTGTCCAAGCCAAACCACAGAAGCTCCTGTCAGCCCTTAGAAATCTGAGCCAGGCAGTATAATTTTCGTGGCAGACCGTAACCATATCCACAGCAGGTCTCCAAGGTGAACAGCCTCTGGCAATTAAACAATGTAGTTAAGGGATGTCGGCAAATAAGATCCGAAAAGGATTGGGTCTAGGGGCCGAGTTGGGCAGATTAAATTTCCAGATCAAAGAACCAAACCACACAAAGATCATCGACCTGAGCTACAAATCTTCTCCATGATATCGCAACCCACAGTCAATTATTAATAACGCGCTTATACACACTTCAATAGTAAAGTGATACGAATCAGTCATGTTTAACGGCGTGTGGAAAAGAAGATGCTGTTTAACCACAGGACGATACATACCACAGACTGTAAAAGGTGTCAGTGCAATCAATGAAATCAATTTTCATTGAAATCAATAATAATACTTACC